GACTGAAAGGGACCTATCTGGCTAACTGCCTTGTTCTGGTGCACTGCTAATCTATTCATAACTGTTGGTATCACTTCAAGAGGTGATGTGAGATGATGCCAAAGGGTGGAGTGTAAACAGTTCTAGATGAATGATTTGTATTTTATTTACTTTTTATTGCCCATAAGTGCTAAGCACTTCACAAAAGACATATCTTTGTCCCAGAGTTTACAGTCTAATGGATCTATCTGACAGGTACGTGTGAGCTACAACATATCATAAGGCACGAAAGGACTAAGAAAGGACAGGGTGCTGAGTGAACTGTTTTTATTGCTGAAGCATTCACGCTGACCACATAGTGAAAGTCACATCTGAAGCAAGACTAATCTAAACGACTGAATTTAGTTTCCAGATTGATCTCTGCCCAGATGGCTGTGCCATGGGGAGCCTTTTTGGCACAGACATTTGCCTATTTGGAAGGAGCTCATTCAGCAGCACTGGCACACAGGGCAGAGGGAGAGTGTTCTCTGTTTTCATGCTGTCACTGCCTCAGTGCACCTAGAATCTGTGGGGAGGAGTGGTGATGGATTTTTGTTTCTGTCTCTCTTACTCTGAGTGAAACCACTCTTACCTTCGTCTTTCATCCTCTCCATACTCCTAATTCTCAACCTATCCTTGATAATTGTACAGCTTCTTTATGCCTTTCTCAGCCAAGTCCTCCACTCCCTCGCAAAGTTACGTGTCTTCAAAACCATAACAACATGCCTTAACAGATTGTGTAGCTGGGATTTGTATGTTGAATGCAGGAATGTATAAATACGAATCAAAGTTGCTACTTCAGCATATGGGTATTTATCAGTACATACGCATTAAAGTTCTGTCCATATGACAAAGTATCTGTATCTACTTCGTATCTTGCTTTTTCTCTAGAATTTCCATTAGGTGGATGCCTCTGGTTTTCTCTGTAGTTTTACTCCTGGCTAACATACAGCCTTCATTTCTTCTATAGCAAAAATCTTCTCGTATTCCTCCTCTTCCTTCAGGGTCTCTTCATAAACATATTTACTCCAAGCACACGTCTGTCTGATGAAGAAAATAGCTGAATGTTTTCAATCTTTGCTAGAGGGAAACTGCATTGTATTTATACGCCTTCTGCAGCAAGATTCACTCAGGTGCTGCAGCAAATAGTCAGCATGTCAGCTGATGTTCTGAAAAAGAAGTCCTCTCTACCAGTGGCCTCCAGGCAAGGCCAGTAAGAGCTGCTATGCGCCCTAAGGCAAAGAAAGCATTCACTGCCAATAGATCCCTACTAGTCTATCCCATCCTTACTGCTTAAATATTCAGTAAAACACTTTTCAATCATTTCTCACCATCAGAATTCTTTTTTTAATTATTCGCAAATTACTTTTACCCAAGTCAAGACTGTTTTGCCTTTGACAGTGACTGGTTAGTGGTCTCCCTATCTTATCTTGACCCATGAGCTCTTCCCCTCATTTTCTCCCTGTGTCCTGTTGGAGATGGGGAGTGAGAGAGCAGCTGCACAGGACCTAGCAGTCAGCCAAAGCTAACTACAGCAGCAGCAGTTTAAAAACCTACCTCCCCTTCTTCACTCTCTGCCTCAATCTTGATTACATCCCTGTTGCCTTTCCTGTCCCAGTTTTTCTGAAAGGTAAAATCTGTGGCCAAATACTTAATCATCTACCATGCACTTTGCCAAACTCTGCTGAATTGAACTTTTGCCCTTTGACACTGCAACCTGTCTCTTCTTCTTCCCTTGTGTCACTTACACAAAACAGCTATATGGTGGTATCCTCCTGTTTCTTTCCTCTGCTTTCCAGAACTGAGAAATGATCTCAAGATGTCTACTCAAGGCACTATCAAGAAGAGGATGGGATCATCTCCAGGAACAGCTCTGAGTGATACTTCTACTGGAACACTGGGTTTATCTCTAATCATAAATATTAGAAACCAGAGCTAAGAAAATGAGGGTTTTAACAAATGAGTGTAGGAAACAACTGGAACAACTTACCCAGGAAAATGATGGATTTCCTGTCTTTTGAAGTCTTTACATCAAGATTGGATGTTTTGCTAAAATACATGGTTTTACTCCGATAAAAATTACAGACTTTATGTAGGAACTGCTGAGTGAGACTCTTGGCCAGTTCAAATTAGACTATTGTATGAAATAGTCCCCTGCAGATTCTTGAATTAAATTTAAGTTAGCATGTTACCATCATATTTGAAAAAGACGTAAAACATACTCCTTAGTTCAGCTGATAGGCAGAAACTCACTGTGCCAATATAAAGGATGTGAGTCTAAAATCCTAATCTTGTTTACCTGGAGTACTGCATCCAGATGTGGAGTCCTCAGTACAGGAGAGACATGGAGCTGTTGGAGCACGTCCAGAAGAAGGCCACAGAAATGATCCGTGGAATGGAACACCTCTTCTACAATGGCAGGCTGAGAGCTGGGGCTGTTCAGCCTGGAGAAGGCTTTGGGGAGAACTGAGAGTGGCTTTACAGTATCTAAAAGGGAGCTACAAGAAAAAAGGAGACAGACTCTTTAGCAGGCTCTGTTGTGACAGGACAAGGGGAAATGATTTCAAACTGAAAGAGGGAGGATTTAGGCTCAATACGGGGCTTTTTTACAATAATGGCGGTGAGGCACTGGCACTGTTGCCCGAGAGGTGGTGGATGCTCCATCCTTGAACACACTCAAGGTCAGGCTGGATGGGGCTCTGAGCAACCTGATCGAGCTGTGGATGTCCCTGTTCACTGCAGGGGAGTTGGACTAGATGACCCTTAAGGTTCCCTTTCAACTCAGATGATTCTACAATATGTGCCATGAATTCCACGTGTGTCAAATTAACTCAATGCTTTACATATTTCCAGGCTTAGTTGCTATTAATTGTGAATAATCATCCAGCCACCACGGAATGGAAATTCTACTTCATCCTCATTACTATATTTTCCTGTGATTTCCAAAGTCAAAAATTGGAATGCTAAAGGATGGGGAAAAAAAAGGAAAAACTGTACTTAGGGGAGAATTCAGAGAGACAAAGATTTCTTGGCAGGCAGGAAGAAGAAAAAGACAAGCAGGAGCAAAACCAGAGATCACAAAAAGCCACTGGTAAATAACAGGCAGCACGAGTCGACAGATTCAGAGACAGATGGGAATATGTGGTGGGAAAATAAAGGAAAGTTGAAGAACTACTCAAAAATAAAGGAATGAGTATACCAATATGCAGATGAAGTCTTTTTACCATTGACCTGTGAAGAAATCTCTCAAAGAGTAATTTGTTTGCAGGAACACCACACTCTACCAAAAACACACACAGCCACACACAGTCACACACAGGTGCACATGCCCATGCAAATAGCTTTATGCATCTGTTTTCAGTGCTCTTTGCTCAGTCTCTGCATCATTCTTCAGAAATCACTGTCACCCTCCACAGCAATTCAAGGGGATCTCTTTCTCCCCCGTAAGATACAGAAATATGGCAAGAAAAGAAGCCTGGGTGAAAGCAGACAGAGTTCTGGTCTTGGAACAAATGTGTTTGAACACAAACCAACAAAGTTCACCTTAAAAATCGATATTCTTCCATACTGCCAATTAACATTTCAAAATTAATTTACTGAGGATCTGATTGTTCTGTGCAGAAATCTCTGCAAAGCCACAGGTAAAACCAGAAACTCCCATCTCTGACACACAGTTATTTTGGGATGACTTCATTACCTATCATTTATTACATGCGTCTTTTAATTATTAACTGCCATTTCCCCAGACCTCTGGCAGCCGCTTTGGCAGAAGTTCCAAGGCTTCAAACACAACGGTAAGTGTTTGGATGCAAAAAAGCTCTGTGATTTTTCCCACCGAAGGTTAAAATAAATGAACAAACGGGAGGCGGAGGAGCAGGGAAGTTTTCCTTTCATTCGCTCCCTCCTCTTGGCAGTGATGCCCGCAGGTCTGAGCGCATCCCCAGCCCTCGCCCCCATCTCTGCCGCAAACCCCGACAGAGGGGGGTCCTGTCGGGACGTCCCCCCTCCCCCGACCTCCGCAGCTCAGTGCAGGTGGATGCGCGCCGCCACCTTCATTAACAACAACCGCTGCTTAATGACAGCGGCCCGGGGCTGCAGCAGCCCAGCAGCGATGAGGCATTCCTAGTTCTTGGCCCCTCCGCTCTGTCCCCGCGGTGCAAAGTTCCGGATATGCGGAAAGCAAAATAAAGAAAGATAAAATAATTAAGAAAACAGAAAACAGAAAAAAAAAAAAAAAAGAAAAGAAAAAAAAAAAAAACCCACACATTAAAACCAGAGGGATCTGATGGTCTGATCCGCGTTGCCGTGGCGCTGCGGGGAGCGTCTCCAAAGCGCAGCGGCTCCGCGGAGGGCGCGGAAGGGCGCGGAACGTGCGCGGCCGCTGTCCGCCCGCGGCGGTGCGGGAGGCGGCGGCGGCGGCGGCGGGGAGGGTTTGGGGGGGGGGGGGGGGGGGGGGGGGGGGGGGGGGGGGGGGGGAGCACGGCGCATGTCCGCCCGCGCCGCGCCGCCGCCAGCCGCTCCCCCCCGCCGCCAAACTCACCACCATCTTCTGCATGTGCATCGCTCGCAGCCGGACACAAACCGCTCCCCGGCGATGGAGACTGCGGGAAAAGCCCGGCGCGGTGGGATGGCTTGCTGAAACTGCGGCGGCTGCAGAGACAGAGGCAGAGCGGCAGAGAATAGGCAACAAATCCTAAAGCAACGGCAAAATAAAAACTGACCAAAAAAAAAAAAAAAAAAAAGGAAAAAAAGAAAAAAAGAAAAAGAAAGGAGAAAACCTCTCTTTTTCTCCCCCTTTTCCCTCTTTTTTATTTTTTTTTATTTTTAAATTCTTGATTTTGTTTGTAGCCGCCTCGTCCTCAATGCCTCTCTGAGCAGCATCTAGCGAGCGAGCGGGAGAAGGCGAGAGAGAGGCAAAAGAGAAGATGAGGATAATTTGCAGACAGCTTGTCTTGTTGTTTTCTGGCTTTTGGGGACTAGCAATGGGAGCTTTTCCTAGCAGCGTGCAAATAGGTAAGCGCTGCATTGGGCTGTGTGCGGGTGCTCAGGGGTTCGAGCCTTTGCGAAGTGAGTTGGGAAGGCGGCTCTGAAGGCAGCTTGCAGCTTTCTCCTCCACCACCATCCCATTTCCCTGCCTTCGTTGACAGCCCGCGTGCATTTGTGTATGTGTGCGTACGTGTGTGTGTGTGTGTTTGCGTGCCGTAGGAAGGATGCTCATCTTCTGCCCAACTCATTCCAGCCCCGGGGTGCACAGGGTCGGCAGGAGGGGAGGGCGCTTGGGGAGATGCTCCTGGGCTGCTTCGGCCCCCTCCGGCTTCCCATTTCCCAGAGCTGAGGTTGCGGTACCGTAGGCATGGGGCTGAAAGGCAGCGCTGCCTTCCCTTCCTGTAGTTGAAAAGTTTGGGATTTTGAAAGACTAACCGCTTAGCTCTGTGCCCCTTCCTCACCCTTTTCCCATCGCCTCCCGCTTCCCTCCGTCCGGGCGCGTTTCGGATGGGACGCAGCTATCTGAATTCCTTCCAGCTCATCTCCATCGCTGCATCATTGCCCGTGGACTTGTGGAGATGCTGCTAATAGAGCTGAGCGGCTCCCTGCCTGCACATGGCTGTGGAAGAGCAAAGTTCATTATATTCCTGTTTAGTGCAGATAATCCGACACAGAGTGGGTATTTTTTTTAATCCGGAAAGCATCGTTCCCCTTAATCAGCCCGCCACTTCATGTGAGAGGCTGCTGAGTAGCTGATTTAGCAGTGTGTTCAGTCGCAGGGAGATGGAGGCTAAACACTTCCAAAGGTCACTGTAATCATGGCAAATCGGGGTATTTACATGTGAAAGGCTGGAAACCGAGAAGTCGGGAAAGAAGCATGAAGCGTCGGGGTGGTGAATATCGATTGAGAACAGTGATTTAAAGGCAGCGGTTGTGATTATGAATGTGATTAGTTCCTTGCCCATTAAAGTCTTAGGACTTTCCTTACTGTGCAGCTTTGGGAGAATCAGTTCCTTGGTGTTACAAGACAGTAGCTTGCCAGCAATTCACCTTGCCTCCTCTGCATCTTGCTATTTTTTTCCTTTTTTCTTTCTTTTGTTTTTTTCTTGTAGGTGGTCTCTTCATCAGGAACACAGATCAGGAATATACTGCTTTTCGATTAGCAATTTTTCTTCATAACACCAGCCCCAATGCCTCCGAAGCACCTTTTAATTTGGTTCCTCATGTAGACAACATTGAAACAGCTAACAGCTTTGCTGTAACAAATGCCTGTAAGTAAACGTGCCATTGATCTGACCAGCTTACGGGTAAATTGCAATGAAAATAACAGGAAATCACATTGCTATTGTGCATTGGAAATACAGCAGAAAGTCTGGTTTTGGTGTAGATACCGTAGCAGAAGAGCAGGGGGGGCAGCAGTCCTTGTTAGTCCTAACTGGAGCACAGTCCCCTCGCCCGCCTTGTGCTCACTAACCTGATGTGACATTTACTTTAGTGTTATTCCTGTAGTTTTTCGCTTTCTGGTTTCTATGGAGATGAATTTTGTTGTTGTAAAGAAAAATTATGAATGTCTCGATCCATCCATAAACCCCACTGTTGCTCTTGTTCGCGTTCGGGTATGACGTGCCTTGCATGTATTTGGAACGTGAATGTGTATGCTCACGAATGCTTTGTTAATGCTTGGAAAGGAGATAGGAAAGCAGCGGTGTGCAGGATTATATATCTGAGTCGGTTGACGCTGCAGTTGATCTGGTGATGTCACTTGAGGCAGCCCTGCTCTTATATTCTAGGTTGTAAATGTCTCTTATCATCTCGTAATGCATACATCCTGTGGATATGTCTCTATGCATCCATACATTGGTGCCAAGTCAAGTTAGTATCTGATCTACTTGATTTCACAGACCACCTCAACTGGAACAAATATTCTCTTCCTACTATATATTTTCTACACACACACACACGCACACACACAGGCTCACATACGCCATGAAAGGGAAACAGAAAATGAAATGCCTTTACCAAATAACAGTAACGGTTAATCTTTTTTATTATTATTTTTAACAGATTATAATTAAGTGAATTTCCTACATTTCGATCACCTCGGGGTCTTTAGCAGTGGCTGAAACACATGCTGAATAGTGCTTGGTCTCAGAGAGCAGCAGAGCATCATTTCTGTTTAACTTCACGTATGTCAGGCTGATAAGGAGGAATTTATTTTATTACATAAGACAGTGGGATACAGTGTGGCAGAGCTGAGGGCTGTTAGGAACCTCACGTTCATGCTTCAGAATTCAGTTCTATGGGTTTTCCTCTTTGGCCTTTAAGTTTTTGAACCCCTTCTCTCCATTCAGGAACAAATTGCCTCTGGGTGTAGATGCCCTGAGCGGCATTGCTTATTGAGTTTAAAATAGAAATGAGCTGGAGAAGGTCTTCCTGTCCACTGTGCCTTTAAAATATGTTCTGTGTTTCTCCCCAGCTTCTCACAGCCATCTTTTAATATGTAAACATGCCATGCACTGTGCAGTTCTCATATATAATTTATTGAATGTGCACTAAATTTATTTATGTGAGTCTTCAGTACTATAAGTTTCAGATGACCTTGCCACCTTATTTAACAGGAAAAGCTTCAGAGCTGCCAAAATGGCTCCATTCATTTCAGGCAGGAAAGACTGATGTCCCATTAAGTGTGAATTCTATATTAAGCAATGTATTAGTTGTGTTTAGCATGAAAATCAATATCAAATTCCATGAGAAGAAAGCATTTCAGAAGGGCTTTTGAAACTGGGAGGCATCAGATGTGTGCAGGTGTAGTTCATTGAGAAAACATTACCATGCGTGTCGAGTTTGCAGGCGCCGATTACATATTCGTGGAGACAGATGACACGGGAGCTTTTTTTAAACTTTCGTTTTTAGCAAAGGAGGAAGGGACTAAAAATATTGCATATTGAAATCAGTAGTTTTAGATAAAGTCAATTATCTTAGATTCTGCCTACCCATCTACTTCTGCCAAATAATTTCAGAGGCAATTGTTACTTTTTGGATTAAGGGTATTGTGGAGAATTTCCATTGGAGTGCTGGTGAATTAACTCTGATTTGCATACATTTAAGATTATCTAAAGTTGAACCACTTCTGTGTGTCAGACTTCAATGCCTTAGATTCAAACAAGGGTTTGTCCGAAACTTTCCCTAATTTCAATGATCCACAGCAGATTCTTCTCTTGTTCCAACCACCTTAGGTTATTTTAGCCTGAGTATCTTAACTGAGGAAAACCTGTCCCCTTGTATTTGCTACAATCTACAGAAATAGTGATTCATAACCTTGTTCTTTTATTTTTCGTTAAAGTGAACCCATTTTTATTTCTAAAGAATGTAATGACTCAGAGATGATAAATCTGCACCGTATAGAGGGAAGCAGAGAAAAAAAGAGAATAAATGTATATGTTTATATATGTGTATACTACTATAATTCTGTAACTGTATTAAATAGACAAAACCCGACAGGCCTTTTCAGCTCTGTGCTTCTCACTTAAACCAACGTGTATTTTTAGTCCAACTTTGTATTTACTTTACATTTTGCAGTCTCATTCTAATAATCTGTTTCTCATTTTTCATATAATACTGGAAAATATATTTTAAATAACAAATGTTCTACTAATGAAACACAGGCAAAGTGACTGACAAGTGAATAAACATATCACATGTCCCTTAAGCTAAATATGAGCAGAATCCTGCAAAAATCAATTGTCTGATAGCTGGAGGACACTGACTTCCATGTGATTGAATTTCCTGCCTTGACAGAGGCTTCTAAAGCACAGATGTGTGAGGTTTTCTAATCTAATTAAAGAACCCCCACCATCAGCTCAGAATTAAATGATTTCATGGCAATGTAAAATGATAACTCTTTCCTGAACCGCTGTTAAAAAGTGGCTTTGGACCTTGTTATTTGTATAGAAAAATTCCTCTGTGCACACGTTTCCAGATACAAAGTACAAAAGCATTAGAGCTGCTGGGCTGAACTGAATATTCATATGAGTTCATGCATGAAGGTCTAAGACATGACCACTTACCTCTGGATCTGTTTCTATGTGCACAGAGGTTACTTGTGAAGATTCAAGGCCTGGCTCATTGGATGTGTTAGGGACTCTAAACAGACTATTTCAAAGGATTATGGAGGGTATGTTGGTGGGTAACCCACTGCAACGTTGAAAAACTGTGGGGTATTTTTTCTTTTCATTAAATATAAACATATAGCCAAGTGTACATTCAGAAGTGCCTTTGGAACTGGAGTAATTTTGTATTTTTCATTTAATATAATGTCTTCTAATGATTGTCATGGACATTTCTGTTTTCTTTAAAAAGGCCTAGGAACAATTAAGTGTGAATGCACATGAAACAGGTTGCTTAAGCACAAGGACTCTGTTGTAAATCAGCAAAATGAATCTGATCTGTATCAGTTTGGAGATAGTCATTCCTCTCCTTTCCCCTTCCCACTTGCGTGTTTTATTTAAACCCTGTTCGTTTTTGCACTGCATACATTATTCAGAGAATCTCTCTTACTGACAGAGCTGAAATTATTGCAAAACATGAAAAGTACAAGGTTCTTACTCGTCAGGGCACAATACACCAAAGCTGAAACATATGCAACATTGACATATATTGGTTTGCACATTACAAGTGGGAGATTATGCTCATGATTGGAAATCCAAATTCAGGTAGATGTCAGAGGTATGAAATTTGCATTGGTTATTGGAGAGCATTTTAGATATTTATTCTTCAGCTGAATGCTGAAAAATTTTCACCATTGCATGCAGAATCTATATTGCATTAGTAATTCTCAGAAAAGCTATCAACATTATACCTGCTTGAATCATTTTGAGAGGAAGTTGTATAGTTTCACAAAGAACCATCTACCTTCCAACTCTTGTCTTGTGGTTGGGAATTTTTGTGTTGAAATTTCTGATGCAGGCCAGGCAATTTAGAATAGTTTGACTGGAAAGGACCTTCCAAGAACATCGCATCCAACTGCTTGACCTCTTCAGGGCTAACCAGAACTTAAAGAATGTTGCTGAGGGCATTGCCCAAATGCTTCTGAAAGGCATGAAGCACCAACTACCACTCTTGGAAGCCTGTTTCAGTGCTTAATCCCTCTTATGATAAATAAATTTATCTTAATACTCAGTCTGAACCTCCTCTAGTGAAGATTTGTATCTCACATTCTTCCTCTTTTAACAAATTAGTAATCACTGCATTTATCTCAGCATCCATCATGGTATGTAGTGCATAGTTGTTGACTTTGAAGGGCCTTGAAGAAAAAGAAAATAAATAAATGCTTTCTCTGCCCACTGTGGGTGAGGCATTCTGGTTACCCATAGTCTTTGCACTCCAAGTTGCAGTGCAGATTCTGAGCCAAACTTTGTTCATTTTTTTCATATATAATCTCTAAGGGTACAAGAAGAGATCACACCTGTTCCACACCTGGTCACACTATTTTTCAGAGTGATCTTGTTTTTCTTAAGCCTTTAACTCCAAGACCTCTGATTTTTATGGCTAAGTTTCATCATTAAAAACATACTACACTGTGACACTTAGTTGTGAAACATGTATAGCTAACTTGGTTTCAGTTCAGATCACAGTACATGAGAAGACAACACTGGAAGCTTCATTGTGGAATGTAAAGCTTAGCAGAACACCTTGCTGCCTAGATTACCACATCTTCTCTGTTCTGCAAACAAGCTCTTTAAAACATAGCTGAAGTTGTTCCTCCGTGCATGAGCATAAATATGGCAGTCAAAACTATGTGCACTCTACACAGCATGGTGCACTGTGATATTTGCTGCAATATTCTATTCCACAGACTATGAAATCATTATTAATAAACTCCACCAGTCCAATTGGTTTGTGAAACCACGTGCACAGAGCCATGCTCTGATTTTTTTTTCCTGGAGAAGTCATTCTGGAATACACACACGTACTCAGTTGAAATATTTGTTTCAAAAATCTTTCATGTATAACCAGTCTTGCAGTTCTTGTACATGATTAGGCTAAATGGGAAAGAGAAGGTCTTGGTTCAAGAGTTTCATCAGTACCTCATATTAAAACTACAGCTTTTCCCTTTGAGTCAGTTCAACTTCATGTATGTACTGAAATGAACATATTCCTAATGGATGTAACTTGGGGCAAATCAAACACTCCTTATCTTGCACACAATTCATTTCTCACCAAATTTTTTATCTCTTCCCTCAAATTGTAATCCCAGTAGATAGTATTGAACTATCTACCTGAGTTTGCTACATGTCACTTAGATCTGGAAGGAAAAGAAAAAAAAGCCTACTGGAATTTTAAAAAAATTGTATCTTGGAATAACTTCACTCTCTTTCCAACAGTTTGTTTCTTTGATTGTAATGCCCACCAGACTAAGGGCGAGCTGGGGACCTGAAACTAGTGGTCTGACTCTACCTCACCAGATTGCAGTTTCTGGTTGAACTCCACCAAGCTTGGAGTCATCCCCAAGGGCAGACAGGAGCTTCTTTCCATGAGTCCATCTCTGGCCTTGAGATGTTGGTTGTGAGAGCAAAAGCGGTGCCATCTGCTGAGGCATCCAGGAAGCTGAGGAAAT